AGTCAAGGGCATGTACTTGGGTTGCGGGTTTCATCCCCAGCCTTGGTAAGGATCGTGTGGGAAGCAACCAATCAATGTGTCTCTGTCACATTGATGTTTCTCTCTCCCTCTTTCCCTCCCTCCCACTCTCAAAAAATTAGTGGAAAAATATCCTCAGGTGAGGATTAAGCAAATAAATAAATAAATAAAAACAGACTCATAGATACAGAGAACTGACTGATGGTTGCCATAGGGAAAGGAGGTTGGGGGTTGGGGACTGGGAAAGATGAAGGGATTAGAGTGCAAATTAGTAACAGGTGTAAAGCACAGCACAGGGTGTGTAGTCAATAATTTGGTAATTATGCATGTGCCAGGTGGGTGCTGGAACTTTCAGGAGGAGCACTGTAAAGTATATGACTGTATGCCCTGGCTGGTTTGGCTCAGCGGTTAGAGCGTCGGCCCACGGACCAGAGAGACGGGGGTTTGGTTCCCGCTAAGGGCACGTACCTCGGTTGCAGTTTGTCCCTGGCCCCGGTTGGGGTCATGTGGGTGGCAACAAGTCGATGTGTCTCTCTCATATCAGTGTTTCTCTCTCTCTATTCCTCCCTCTCTCCCTCCTGCTCTATCTGAAGATGAATGCAAAAGTGTCCTCAGGTGAGGATAAAAAAAAAAATTAATGAGCCTAGTTGGTGTGGTTCAGTGGTTGAGCGTCAACCCATGCACCAAGAGGTTGCCAGTTCGATTCCTGGTCAGGGCACGTGCCCAGGTTGTGGGCCAAATCCCCAGTGGGAGGCACGCAGAAGATGGCCAATCGATGTTCTCTCTCATAGATGTTGCTATCTCTCTCTCCCTCTCCCTTCCTCTCTTTCTAAAATCAATAAAGAAAAAAAAATTTTTAAGGAAAAAAATATATAATTAAAAAACAACAACCATGGCTTCTCAAATTATTTGAACAAGAAACTATTTCAGACAAGGAACTTAACCTGTTTTTGAACTAGCGCACATTGGAAGGGTCGGGAGAGCAACTGGCTCTCAGGGTCTCTCAGTGACCACCCCTGGAGTCTGTTCACACTCGCAGCAGGGTGCAGCGGGGGCCTTCCCCCTCCTGTGGCCACACCATCTGGTCATGTGGCCTTCAACACAGCCAGGGAAGAGAGAAAATGGAGGAGGGTGGGTGACAGATTTTATGGGCCAGACCTAGACATCTCCCCACACTCCCTTGGCCAGAGGAGTCTTGTCTGTTAGGTGCAGCGTGGCCCCACTGTGCTTTTGGAAGGACAGGGGTTGGTGGCCCACTCTGCGGCACCGGCACACATGCTTTCGGAAGCCCTGCTCTGGAGGTTTACATGCCTGCAGTACAGGCATCCACGGTGACTGTCGGCATGTGAAGACGCCCTGGACAACACTGTGGACTTCGCTCTGGGACCAGCTCCCAGGCCTGAGGCTCTGTGTTGCCTGAGCCCAGCCTGCCCTGGATCCTGTGCACACTGCCATCAACCACGGGTCCTTTTCTACAGGAACGGACACTGGGGCGGTGGCATCGTGCGTGCTTATTTCAGCAGAGGCAGAATTCGACAGGAGCAAACGAGTCGATGACTTTAGACTGCTGCCCTGGAAATCAGGTCGATGCATGGGAGTGGGAGAATGTGACTCTGTATCTGAACAGACCAGATGGAACCCTTAGAAATGGACACGGCCGATGCATTGGAATGGCCATCCTAGAGCTGGTACTATTTAGAGTCTGAACACACAACAATAATGAGGAGAGAAAACCAAAAGTAATGCTGGTGGTAAATGCTTGATCTTTTCCCAGAAAGAAAATGAAGTCTTGGTGTGGTTGGTGCATTGGGACATAAATAGCCTGAATGACACTTTAAAATTTACACACAAATCTCAGTAGCTCCCTACTGAGCACCTATGATGCTATCATGCTCCCTTGAAGTGTATTTAAAGCCTTTTCAATGTCAAGTTGCAAAGGAGAAGGAGAGCTGCTGGTATGTCGTGAGTGGAAAGTGAGGGCCAGCTGGTAAAAGGTTAGAAAAGGTGCTGTGTGTCTGGAATGCGAGGTGCGTGGGCCGGTCTGGCTGAGGAGCAGGCCTGCTGCAGCCCATCCGAGGAGGGCCACCTGCCCAGGGCCCTGGCTGTTGCCAGACTAGTCTAGGTCCTGTCCAACAGAGGCGGCTGCGGAGGGCAGGGCTGGCTCTCAGCACCCACATAGGGAGCAAAGCTTGTTTTGGATGTGGTCATGGGCAAGAGTGCCCATTTTGGAGCCAAAACCTGTCTCTGTCACTCTGTGACCCTGTACAAATGACCCCACCCTGCCCCGCCCCAGAGGCCTGCTTCTGCTGTGACCACATTTGAGTAAAGCCTAGAAAAGTACTACCACGCTCTGTGCACAGTGGGCTGGGAGCTGCCCCTCCCACTGGCCTTTGTTTTTCTTTCTCAGCATCGCTGCCCCTCTCTTCCAGTCTTTGCTACCAGCCTGCAGCCCACCAGGCCTGAGGACAGAGACAGTGCTGTTTCTCTCCCAGCTACAAGGCTCAGTCTACTCAAGTGAAAACGAGAAACGGCTCACTATCGACCCACCTGTGCAGGTGTGGAGTTAATGTGGTCAGGCAGGTGCAGGATGAACAGGCTGCAGCACCAGCAGGCGCTCACAAACGCTGAGACTGTTATTTCATTGCTTATGTAGCCAGCGATCTCAAAGCTACCAGAGGAGGGTGTTTCACACGGCGGTGATGGCGATTGAGTGTGAGGACAGCAAAAGGAGCGGGAGATAAAAACATGTGCTTCTCTCCAGCTGGGCAGCTGTGAGGGGAAAGAAGGCGGGCCCTCCAAATGCTCCTCTCTCACAAACACATTCCAGGCAGCCCTGTTCATCTCAGATGATTAGCTTCCTTGCCTGAGGCCAAGCAGTCTTTCCCAAAGTGTCTGCTCAGCAGCCTGGTGGCTCCCTGTCACTGCGCAGGCAAACCAGTAGGGCTCACATCTGACTGGGCCCAGGCTGGCTCTGTGGTCACCCACTCGCTGGGGGCCAGGGCTGTGCAGCTGTATGTTTTGTTAAGAATATTGATTTTGAGAGACAGGAAGGGACAGGGAGAGGGAGACACTGATGTGAGAGCACATGGATCAGCCACCTTCTGCACGCCCCCTACTGGGGATCGAGCCCACAACCCCGGGCATGTGCCCTGACCAGGAATCGAACCGGGACCTCTCAGTGCACAGGATGATGCCCAGCCCACTGAGCCACACCAGCAAGGGCCAGCCATGCGTCTTTTAAAACCCCCAAACTACTGAAAAATCCCCAAATAATGTGGATAAAGTTTTATGGAGAGAAAAAGGAAAGTTTTCACCGACATCACACCAAAAAACATCAGAAATATCTGCTATAACATCTCTCACCCAAAGTTCCAGTTCCTGAGGTGGCCACTACCTCCTTTAAAAAATTTTATTTTTATTTTTTATTCCAGTTGACATAAAATATTATATTAGTTTCAGGTATACAGTATACTGATTAGACGTTTATATACTTTACAAGTGATCACTCCAATAAATCTTGTACCCATCTGACACCGTACATATATTACACTATTATTGACAATATTCCCTATACTGTACTTTATATCCCCATGACTGTTTGTATAACTGGCAATTTGTACTTCTTTTTTTTTTTTAATCCTCACCCGAGGACATTTTTCCAGAGTGGGAGGGAGAGAGAGGAAGAGAGAGAGAGAGAAACATCGATGTGAAGGGACACATCGAGTGGCTGCCACCTGCACGACCAACCAGGGCCGGGGACAAACTGCAACCGAGGTACGTGCCCTTAGCGGGAACCGAACCCGGGTCTCTCTGGACCCCAAGCCGACGCTCTAACCGCTGAGCCAAACTGGCCAGAGCTGTACTTCTTAATCCCTTCACCCTTTCGCCCAGCTCCCATCTGGCAACCATCAAAATGTTCTCTGTATCTGTGAGTTTGTTTTTGTGTTGCTTATTCATTTATTTTATTTTTTAAATTCCTCATATAAGTGAGATCAAGTTTGTCTGTCTGACTTATTTCACTTAACAGCACCATCTAGGTCCATTCATGTTGTCACAAATGGCACGGTTTTATTCTTCTTTATGGCTGAGTAATATTGCATTGTGTATATGTACCACATCTTCTTTATCCAACTGTCTGCTGATGGATTCTTAGATTGCTTCCATACCTTGGCTATTGTAAATAATGTTGCAATGAACCTAGAGGTATATAAATCTTTTTGAATTAGTGTTCTGGTTTTCTTTGGATAAATACTCAGAATTGGAATTGCTGGATTCAATGGGAGTTCTATTTTTAATTTTTTGAGGAACCTCCATACTATTTTCCATAGTGGTTACACCAATTTATAATCTCACCAACTGTCACTGTCCCCTCTTATCCAAACTTCCCTACCCCCCTCCCCCCCTTCTGTGCACTCCTCGCTCGCCTCCTCGCACCTCTGCCCGCCTGGCCCCACCCACAGCCCTGTGCAGAGACCACGCTCTCCGCTCAGGCTGCACCACAGGAAGGCAGAAAAGAATAAACCAACCGAGAGATCATGTTTTCCTAGTCACAAGGTAAATACAAATTTATCTGAAGTAGTTTTGACATTAAGCACATTTGCTAAGATTTATTTTTCTCCTTTCTAGTAACAAAGTAGCAAGAAAGGAAGATCTCCTGTCTGTGTAAGGAAATGGAATGCACTCACTGTTTCTCTCCTGGAAGGGCTCAGCCTACAGATTACACTCGCAGAGTGTCTAAAGTGAAATTTAGTTTTGACTTTGCTTTGCATCTAAGTAGCCTAGTAAGGAAACAGGAGTTGAATTTTATGTAAGATTCATTTTTAAAGGACTCTGTTTAATTTGAAATGCATCTAATTCAGAACTAAAAGTGGCGGGTATTTTTGTGGAGCAGGTCAAGGATGTGGAGAGGCATTCTCCTGGCCTGCTGTGTCTGGATCTGAGTGCAGTGAGCAGCCTGGGGGAAAGGGTGCGTGGGACCAAGGATGTTCCTCTTTGTAGCAAAGTGTAGACAGCTTGCTGCCCATTATGGAAGATGCGGGTTCCACCAGCTCTGGGCCCTTCTCCTGCAATGGGACCCACGTTGGTGGAGGTTTCCGCTGGTGGTCTCTGTGTCGTCTGGACGCGGAGACCCCAGGAGCCGCACAAATGCTGCTTTGGCTGCCACTGTTGCTGCGAGCGATGAACCAGCCTTCACCTCCTTCGTCACCACAGCTGTGGAACTGTGGCAGGCTAAGTGTGAGGTAGTCACAGTTCGGGCCAGATGACACTCTCCCAGGGAAATTTGAGTGAACACAGTTTACTGTTCACCAGGCTCACCAGCTTGGCAATGGTATGTTCAAGGTCCTCTCACACCTACTCAGGAACAGGGTCTCCACTAGACGCAAAGCCAGTGGTGAGCTGAGCCAATGCCAGGCTGCAGTGGCTGTGCTCTGAGTTGCTATCAGGGACTTGAATGGAATTTAGCACTTGTTCTGCTTCGTTTACTGCATTTTGATTAGAACTAGGACAAAGGCTGGGGAGAGATAAGATGTAAAGGAAATTTTTGAAAAAAATTAAAGAAGTGGACATGCCACTTAAGAAGCTTTCAGCCCTGGCCGGTTTGGCTCAGCGGTTAGAGCGCTCGCCTGCGGTCCGGAGAGACCCGGGTTCTGTTCCCGCTAAGGGCATGTACCTTGGTTGCAGTTTGTCCCCGGCCCTGGTTGGTCGTGCGGGTGGCAGCCACTCGATGTGTCCCTTTCACATCGATGTTTCTCACTCTCTCTCTTCCTCTCTCTCCCTCCCACTCTGTCTGTACAAAAAATGGAAAAATGTCCTCGGGTGAGGATTAAAAAAAAAAAAAAAAGAAAAGAAGCTTTCAAATGATATAGAAGCTCATTAAATACACAGTCTAAGTTTCAGCACCCCAGTTTCTGGGTTCCATCAGGCCTTCTTCTTGGCCCGTGTGGGGCTGGGGAGAAATGTGTATGTGCGGAGGACACCATGGCTCCAAAGGAGAGCCCTGCAGCAGGTGTGAGTTTCATGACAGTTTAGAGAGGGTCCGAAAACATTTCCAAAGAAGCCAGAGCCAATCATGGAGAGTAGATCCTCAAAGAGAACGGTCCCATACTTAAAACCTATGAATTGTACACCCAAAGTGGGTGATGTATGTATGGCATGTGAATGATAGCTCAATAAAGCAGTTAAAATAGAAAGAAGATTTCAAACCAAGTCAGGTTACTGAAAAGAGAAGACAGATTCTTTCAAAATCCACACGCAGGCTTACGTCGTTGGTGTGCCCGCAGCTCCTGTGAGGTCCGCGTGTCCTCTAACCCCTCAAAGAGGCAGGCTCTTCAGAATGGAACGTGGGCAGGGAGAAGGAACATACCCAGGGGAGTACAGTTGTGCTTGTATTTTTGATTTGTTAGCCTGGGTGGTAGGTATACAGGTGCATATTATGGTGATGTCTATAATTTTTTGTGTGCCTGAAATGTTTTATTTCTTTAAGGAAAATTAGTTAGAAATAGCCAAAACTCATTCAGAAAAATAATTTCACCTACTATAGATTTATATTTATTTCATCAGATTAGGGTTGGTGTTTATGTTGGAAGTAATTACATAACTGTTAATTTTAGTCAATCTTCTGTTTTTGCTTAATTTTAGAATAAACGGAAGTGAAATAATGAGGTCATCATTAGCTGGGAGCCTGGGCCTTAGGCCTTCCCTGGTGACACCTGACGACTGTCTATCGCCATCTAGTGGTAGTGACATGTACAAACAGCCTTGGAAATGCCCAGGAGGTTTACAAAAAATATTGACATCTGATGCTCCACCCCTAGAGATTCTGACTAAATTGGGTTTGGCCTGGGCATCAGGAGTTTTTAGAAATCTCAGGTGATTCTAAAGCAAAGTCAAGATTGAGAACCACCATCCAAAAATAAATAAGAGAAATATCCAACTTCTAAAGTGCTTCTAAAATGATATATTGTTTCTTTTTTCCTTCATTAACTCAGAAAATATTTATTGAGCACATATTATATGCCAGCACTCTCCTAGAAAAGTAATTAGACACTCAAGGTCCATACATCCCTATGGAATGTATATTATATTTTAAAAAGAAAGACATGAATCAATAAATAAACAATCAAGGACCCTGTCAGGCGATGATGAGTACTCTGCAGAGAATTAAAGGAGGGTGATGGCAGGGAGACTGGGGAAGGAGGAGGCCCTTTTCCTCGCGGTCAGAGAATCTCTGGGAGAAGCTGAGGGTGAGAAGACGAGAAGGAGCCAGCTCTTCTGCGGGAGGAAACAGCAGAGGCCCGAGGCTGGAGCGCGTCTGCCCTGCCTACTGAAGGAGGTCTGAGGGCCACGACAGTGAGACCCACGTGCTGAAGACACTGAGGGCGGCTGCACACGGCTGGACCTTACTGCGTTCCCACGTCACGCCTGAAGCGTGCAAACGAGCCAGGCTCCTACGCTGCAAACAGGGAGCCCGAAGGAGCCTGACTGACCTCCCTGGGAACACTCTTACCAAGAACAGCACGTGCACGGACCAGGGACTGTGTCATTCAGAGAAAGGGTTCAAGGAAAGAATAAGGGACACAGTCCAATAAGGCTGCTAAGTAAGCAGGGCAGGTGGCCAAACTTTTGCCTTTAAAAATAAACTGCTGCAAGCACTCGCGGCTGCAGCCACGTCCTGTTTGTGTGTCTTGTCTTCTGTGTGTCTTATGTTCTGTGTGTCTTATGTTCTGTGTTCATTCCCTTCTTCAACTTAAAAAGGAACCACTGCACCTACAGAAGAGAAGAGAGAACAAGTTGGAAGAGCATGAAGCAAGGGACAAGTACCATGACACAAACTCAGAGAGTTTGACTGTGTGAACCAAGGAAAGGAGTCAGGATTTTATTCCAACCTCACCAAGAAGCCACGGGGCTTTTAAGCAATGTAGTAAATGATCTAACATGCTAGGAACAGCCTGGCTGGTGTGCCTCAGTGGATTGAGCATTATCCCAAGGACTGGGAGGTCCTGGTTCGATTCCCCAGTAGGGGGCGTGCAGGAGGCAGCTGATGGGTGTTTCTCTCTCACATCGATGTTTCTCTCTCTCTCTCTAAAAAAATAAACTACTAGGACCGGCCTGGGCTATTGTGGCTCGGTTGGTTGGGCATCATGCCCTCTGAAGGGTTGCTAGTTAATTTTCAGTCAGGACATGTGCCTGAGTTGCAGGCTTGATCCTCGGTGGGTGGCATATAGGAGGCACTGATCAATGTTTACTCTCATATTAATGTTTCTCTCTCCCACCCTGTCCCTTTTTCTCTCTCTAAAAATCAATTTAAAAGAAAAGAAATAAAATACTAGGAACATACTTGTACATATTTTTAAATTGAGGTTTTTTCATCAGATTTCTCTCAAGGGTATCATATTCAAGATTGTTTCTATAAGTAGTCATTAGAAACATGTTTATTGCAGAATATACATTCTTGTGGGAATGCAGATTGGTGCAGCCACTATGGAAAACAGTATGGGATTTCCTCAAGAAATAAAAAAATTGAACTGCTGTTTGACCAAGTGATCCCACTTCTAGGAATATATCCTAAGAATCCCAAAACACCAATCAGAAAGAATATATGCACCCCTATGTCCATAGCAGCACTATTTACAACAGCTAAGATCTGAAAACAGCCCAAGTGCCCATCAGTAGATGAGTGGATAAAAAAGCTGTGGTACATGTACACAATGGAACTCTATGCAGCTGTAGGAAAGATCTCTTACCCTCTGAGATGACATGGAGGGACCCGAAGAGCATTATGCTAAGCAAAATAAGCCAATCAGAGAAAGACAAGTATCACATAATCTCACTTATATGTGGAATCTAATGAACAAAATAGATCCAAAGACATGGAAGGTGGGAACAGACTGACAAACCTCAGAGGGAATGGAGGTATGAGGGGTTGGGGGATTAACCAAAGATCTTATGTGCATATATGCATAGCCCATGGACACAGACAATAGGGTGGTGAAGGCCTGGGGCCAAGCAGGAACTGGGTGAAGGGGCGCAATGGGGGTAAAAAAGGAGGGACATCTGTAATACTCTCAACAATAAAGATAACAAAAAAGGACAGAAAAAAAGTAATTGAGTATTCTGTCTTTGTTAATTTCATCTTAAAAGAAGCATTGCAGTTTAGAGGTCTTCAACACCACTCTCAGGGTCAATGATTTGCTAGAAGGACTCATAGAACTCAGAAAGGTTGTTATACTCACAGTTATGGTTCATTGCATAGAAAGGATAAAAATGAAACTCAGCAAAAGAAAGAGGCACATGAGCTGTGCCCAGGAGACAGCAGGTGCCCGCTCCCAGCTGTCTCTCCTACTGGAGTGCTGAAGACCACTCACTCCTCAGTGTGTGGCAACATGCATGGAGCAGTGCCAGCCAGGCACCTCTTATTTATTACTAAAAGTAATCATAAAAAAGGGGCAGCATGAACATGTTATCTAGATGAGCTAAGAGGCTTCTAAATACCAGAAGAAACAGCTGACCGAGTTGAAAATGGTTGTGTCTAGGAAGAACAACGTCTGAGGAGGAGGAGGCTGGGAGACTGCTGTTTCATGATAACCCTCTTAGAACCATTTGGTCTCTTGTGTAATTATCAACTTGGTAAATAAAAAAATGAATTAATGTATTAATAAATTAAAAAGGGTGGCAAAAAATTGATTAATGTTTTGAAAAATTATAAAAGGATGGTAAAATTTTTTATTTTTATTTATTTATTTGTTTGTTTATTGATTAATTTTTGTTACAGATGATGATTCTTTTTTCCCCTACTGATTCCCCCCTCCCCCTCCCTCCCTGCCCCTTCCCCAGATTGTTGTCCATGTCCACTGTTCATGCATACATGCGTATAAGTTCTGTGGTTCATCCCTCCCCCACCTCCCCACTCCTTAGGGGATTGTCAGTCTGTACCCCGCTTCCGCGTCTCTGGGACTACCCCGTTCCTCAAACTGTTATGTTCATCATATTCCACAAATAAGTGAGATCATATGAAATTTGTCTTTCTCTGTTTGGCTTGTTTCACTTAGGATGATACTTTCCAGGTCCCTCCATGTAGTCTCAAAGGATAAGAGATCTTTCTTTCTTACCGCTGCGTAGTACCCCATTGTGTATATGTACCACAGCTTTTTGATCCATTCGTCTACTGATGGGCACTTGGGCTGTTTCCAGATCTTAGCGATTGTAAATAGTGCTGCTACAAAGATGGGGGTACA